TAACCAATACGAAAAAGATCGACGAGATCGCAAATATGAAGAATCCGAAGATGAGAGTGTCGCTGAAGACAAACCGTCCGTTCAACGTTCTAAAGATCAACCAGTTTATAGACAAGACGAAAGACACGAAGAGGAACGAAGCAATGATGACGATACGCTCAAATATCATTATCAGGTCTCTCCACGAAAAGACTCGGTTCACAAAGAGCGCGCAGAATACGGCGAAACTAATCCTACGCATACACGCGAGGAATATCATCATCAACGTGTCAAGAATGATCATCGTGATCATCCTAGACGCGATAGTGGAAATCAGGATGACGGTGAAGGGGAAGAGACTCAGGAACACGACGCACTTAAGAGCGAGACGCACAAACACGAGGAACATCACGAAAAGAAGAAAGGTGGAGGAGATCATCATTTTGAGGAAGGTGGAGGTGCGGAACATGACGAGGAACATCACGGACACGAGGGAGAAAAGGGCGACAAGGTAAATTGTCCATTGTTAAACAGTCCGTTTGTTCGTCGAACTTATTTAACTTCGGCAATTATTAATGATCTTCTGTTTATTTGCAGGGATATAAGGTTTGGCACGAGCACGAGAAGGCCGAGAAGGGGCATCACGACAAGGAGCATGCCAGCAAACACTATGACGAGAAAGATGGCGAGGAGAAGAAACACGATGAAGAGGGTGGATACCACGAGGAACATCATCACGGTGAAGAGGGCAAGAAGACGGCAGAATTTGGCGAGAAAGGTGAACACAAGAAGGGTCACAGTACACACGGCGAACATTCGGTGCATAAGAAGGTAAAGTGCGCGACACGGATATTACATTCTTAATGAAGTAGGAACGTCGCGATTACAGCAATATTTCGGTTACCGTTAATTTCTGGTAGGACGAATTCGAGAAGAAGACCGAGTTCTTCGACGAGTTCCACGAAGACGGTGGACAGGAGAAGCACGGCGAGCACCATCACGAACACGAGTCGAAGAAGGGCGGCCACGAAAAGAAGGGTCATCACGACGGCGCCGATCACGAGGAGAAATACGGCAAGGAGAAGAAGCACGAGAAAGGCGGTCATCATCACGAGCACAAGGGCCACAAGGTCGACGAAGGCCACGATCATCATTACGATCACGATCAGAAGTACGGCAAGAAGGAGGGGCACGAGGATGGGAAAAAGTGGAGTTTCAAGAAGGGCGACGACGGTGGCGGTCATAAGCATAATCGCTGAACCGAGAGACGTTGATCAAAGAGTAATTTTTTTGCAAAATTATCGCGATTGTTACCATACCTTGATATTGCGCGGTAGTTTCGGAATAGATCAATGCTGTGTCGATCAATTGTTGCATTGATACTAATCGCGTATAATCGAAATGTTATGTATTACTTTAGAGAGCGGTTTGCCTGCCGCCTGGTCACTGCCACCTATATTGATCACCCACGATTGAGATATGACATATTGTGCGCGTTAGCTTACGCTGTTATATCTAGCTCCGGTTAAGCAGAAGTGAGTAATTGAAATGTCAAAGTGAGCATTAATTCAGGCAGAAGTAATGAATTGACTTCTGCCGAGTTGAATTTCCTGCAAATCTGGAAAGCTCGTACAGACTATCGTAGATAAATTTTTCTCATTTCTATTCAATGGAATATTACTCACGGCGTATTGAAGGGAAAACTGAGAGAAAGATTTCGAAAATCGCAATTAAGGAATCATTATCTAACCATTATTTAAGGTAAGATTTTTAATGTTAATTCTATGTACATTATTTGTCAGTTTTATTTTATCTGTTCATCATGTTTCTCGATATTGCTTACATAAAAAATTTCTTATTTAGTAAAATACATTTTATGTAAAAAAAGCGTTTTACTAGTGCTAAGAAAACACCAAACTTTTTAGAACTTTAATGATACAAGTCTACTTTGTAGATATCTGTCGATCGCTAATAAAATGATATACCGATAATGAGATATTCAATAAGTAATCGCGTGTTTTATCGATCATTTTCAATTAGGAAGTAATACAATTAATTAGGAAACAATACTTCGCTATTGTGTGCAATTGGAGGTGCTGATAAAGTTTGCTGAAGGTGCAATTTCCTTGTTACTTTTGTTAACTCCTCGTCTTCTCACTTACGTTTTCACCGTAAACGCAAAAATGACTCCGTTTTATGTCATGTTAAACGGATTAATATCCACATGGGAATGCAGCACGAGAATGGGTGGCGGAATAATGCCATTTACGTTTCTTTAATAGCTCCTCCGATGAGAGAAGGCGTTACAAAACTCTCCTTGGGCGCTTGCAAGAATTCTCCGAAGTAGCCCCTTAACGAGAATGACCGTAAGGATTAATTACGCAAGAGCTGGTGCGCTGCTCTCGATCTCCTTATCCTTTCCTCTCCCGTCCTGTTGCGCCTGATAATACGCTCTTTCGTCTTCGTTACCTCCGAGTATCGATCGGTCGCGTGGCATTCAGCCGGGAATCGCGGAAGGGACTTTAGCCGAGAGAGAGAGAGAGTCGCGGATGCAAACGACAGACGATTTACGACCCACACTTTATTAAAGAAGATATCGATCTTTTTGGCAGTCGCGATAAATGATCTCGAGTGAAATCAGGCTAATATTGGAGCATCGTTAATGATCGAAATGACGTCGGCCGAACGACGTCGGGACGTTCAGTACCGGCGCGGTAAGTATAGATATATGATTGTCCAGAGCTTAATCCACATGGGAATCGAACAGCGGCTTCGACTCGCCCGTTCTCGGCGTTATCGGCACGTATCGTACCGCTATCAGACCGATATTCATGCTTTTACGAGCCGGATAATATCGGTACTATTAAGCTACGCAAAGTGCAGCTTTTCTTTTTTTTCCTCCCCCTTCTTTTTATCCTTATCGCACTCCGCGATATGCGATATGCGAGCACTTTGAGCGCACGTGGGTTGGAATGCGTTCGATAAATCTGGATAATGGACAAGTTAAATGAAATGCATCCCTAATAGCGTCGCAGTTGAAATTTTTGCATGGAAAAACAGGAGGACGAATAAGTGGAAAAGCACGTTCTTGAAATCGCGTCGAGTTCCCGGCGCTTCATTCTTGGCATTTCTCATTGAAGGAATTATTCGCGTCTCAGCTCTTGTCTTTGACGTAATAGTTCGCGATCAGTACCATTATGAATTCTTAAGAAAAAAAGGTAAAAATAAAATGTTTTCGGCGTTTCACTTGTGTTATTAATTACGACCTTCGAGAGAAGTATCGCGCATCGCGTGTTTAACATGTTTCCGGTACGGAAACTCATTATTCTCATTAAGCTTAATTGTCTCTGAATCTTCTTTCCATCCTTATTTCCATCTTTTCCGTGAACCAACTTTTCGTGGAAATCCCTTGATACATCCGCATATGAGTGTCTTTCAAGTTTATTAGAGCCGTTACTATTAAAGTCGGAAGCACTATATTTCAAATGTTAAAACGCGATATTATACGCGCGAACATGTCAAAATTATTCATGTTCGTGAATTGCTAATGAGTAACGATGAGAATTAATTCAAATTCGGGCAAACACTTCAGTACAATACGATATAATGCGAATCATGATCAATGTTTCGAGGTAGATAATTAAACGGACAAATTGATTAAACTTGGCGTAGAGTAACTTCTATTAGCGCTTGAACAAAGTACAGCGCTTTAGAATAACCGTGATTTTCCATTATCCTCCAGATAATCGAAAGTGCCCTGCGTGCAAAATCGAAACGCGCTATATACGCATAACAATAAGTGTCTGCGGGACATTTATTATATCTTTGCTATATTTTAATAATCTTCGATTTTACTAGCTTCTTGTCTTCGTTTTGAGACCCCTCGTTATTTTCGCGCTCCCGAAATTCCTGCGATATTATCAAATAAGATGCGACTTTTCGTCTGGCGCGACTCGCAGGCTCGCGTAAATATGCAAATACCTCGTCTTCCGGATCCGTCGCGCACGGATTTCCTACATTTCCCACGGGGCACTTCCCAGTCATTTCGCGGGGTGGCAGCTTTTACGACGTTGCAGAGCGACGGAGAGTCTGCCTGAACGAGCGGGCAGCGAGTCAGCTCGTTTACGAGTGGTTTAGTAGGAAATCCCACGGAAATCCTCCGCCGCATCCGGTTGATGCGTAACGTATCCACGGCGAATATCCATAAACGCTTAACCGCATCGCCGCGGATTTAGCATTGGGGTGCTCGATCTCCTCGCACGATCAGCGCGCGGTTTATGGGGCAGCTTTCGTCCGGTGAAAAATTCTGCGTATCCTGCACGTACCACACAGGTCACTTGTGAGAGGTGCGATAACATCGTATAATTAAGGATGAGGCTGGTTCGTCAGAGGAAAGTTGCAAATCGGAAGCGAGGAAAGTGAGTTTCTGCGAGATGAAACTGGCAACATTCGGAGCAAGGAGGGTAATCCGATAAGAATGCAATTTACCTTTCATTTGAAGGAGAGCGTTATAATACGCGGAGGCGTCAATTTACTCGCTCGACGCTATTTTATAATAATCACGTTTTATCACTCCAGTAACCTTATGTCTCTTCTTGCGAGAGCGAGATATTCAATGTAATGGCTTTTGCGACAATATTATTTAAATATATGTAAACTTTACGTAAAAAAGTCACATCGTCACGTTAGTACGATTTAATATTCCGTTATTGTATACTCATAATCTTCTTCGGGACAAATATTCCTTTGTATCTCTGTCGCGGATAACAGTCGCGCGAAATTAAAATCAAACGAAGCGACCACCGAAGCGCCCGGCACCGGAAGTTCATTTTCCACGTCATAGGTGGTTCGTGTCGTTCGTGAAGTGGCTCCACGATTACTCCCCTTTCACCCCGTCCAACAGTTCGGAGAGAGCGCAGCGCGCGAGGAGAGGTGGCACGCGGCCCCCCGGAGAGCGAGAAAGACAGGGACCTTCGTCATACACGCACAGGCGCCGACGCACACACACATATAAAGGCCGGCGCCGCAACCCTCTGGCCGTCATTTCTCGCGGCACCCGGCGTCAGACGTCGTTGTCGTCGGTGACTCACGGAGGAAGTTTAACTGTCGCACATCCTCGCTATCACGTGAGAACGAAGGACCGTTTGTTCCGCGCGAAAGTTTCATCCCCCCCCCCTCGGCGAAGAAGAAACGCAAGACGGGACACTTTCCTGTCTTTTATTTAACAGTCGAAAAAGGTATCCACTTTCGTCTCTCACCTGGATCGCAGAATCGCATGATCGCGCCGGCAGAATCTGACAGCAACAGGTGAGCAATTTGTCTCTTGAGACGCATCCTTTCTGCATGCGCTGTCCTTTTTTTACGGCTTCTTTTATTTTTCTTCTTTTTTTTAAGTACACTGTCATAATCGTATCTTTTATGCAGTAAAAACTCAAGACCTTTTTTTGCACCTTTAATTTAATTTTGTGAGGCAATCGATTTTGTGTCTCATTTATCGAGTACTCTTCTACTTGTCCACCGCATCATACTTGATGGTCGCAAACTAAAGAAAACTGAGAGAACTTTACTTCGGGTAGTAATATATTATAGATTCGATCAAACGTATACACACACACACACATTGATATAGTGGTGCGAAAAGAGCTTTTTAAATGCCACGAAGTTTTCACAAATAAACACGATATTTTATAATAAAAGCTTTTAGTTGCGTATAACAACCGATTTCAAATAACAATAGATGTGTCTGATGTACTTTGATCCGCTTTTTCCTTTCTCTCTTTAATTTTCTGTTATACACGCGTGGCATATAAGAGATTTCCCGTTGCGGTGTATCCTCTGTTATTTTTCAATAACACCTTTCTTTTTAATTCTTTATAAGCCGATTATATATTTCAATCGATTTATAATTTTTTTTACACAAAGATACGTGTTATTAAGATTATGATTATATTATTAAAACATTTTTTAAAAAGAGAATGACAAATTAATAAAAAATTATTTCTTTAATAAGTATACTTTTTGTCATAAATATTATATATTAATATTATATATTAAACGAAATTATTAATTTTTTTAAAGGTTACATCTAATATAATTTATATTAAATATTCTTCAATTTTAATAAGAAATTCTTCTTTTTAATTTATTACTCGCAAGCTTTCTTTCTTTAAAGGTAGTAGCAACAGGTGAGAATGTTTTAAGGGCGAAGCTGTTTCCCGAAGTTTCTAGATCTTTATCCTTTTGTTTGTTAATTATGCTAATATTTTTTCACCGTGCATGAAATGACGCTGCATTACTTATATATTTTTATTTAAAAGGTTTCTCGACTAACAAATATATTAAATATTAATGTTTCTAATTTTTCTTCATCGAGATATATTAAAGACGAATTATATATACAGATGCGTAAAATAAAGAAATGCGAAAGATGTCATAACTTAAAATATTGAGTTTTTGACATTGAGTAAAAAAAATTATAAAAATACGAATTAAGAATGTAAGTGTGGCGCAGCTATTACGTTGTATTTCTTATATTTCATTTTTCATAAGCCTTGCTAGGTTTAATATTCTCTTGTAATTTATTATTTTCGTGAAATATTTTTTATTATCAATATATTGAGGCAAAAATGTTGTTTATTGCATGTGCTAAATTGTAATACGAATTGAAATCTATTTCGACAAAACATTGAACAAAAGCTATTGTTCAAATTTGGTACACACTCTTTTGTTACCATTCTTTATTCAATCTATAAAAATTATTATTAAACACCTATATACAGATGTAAAATTTAGATATACATACATATCTATGAATAATGCTTATATATAAATAAAACGCAAATTTGAATTTTAAAAACTATCTTATATATATATATTTAATAACGAGACTTTTAAGTTTCAAATTTACGTGAGCGAAAAATTGCGTAGGTTACTCGTGGGCGGGACGAAAGATGCCAGTCAAAAATACAAAGAAAAACACTCTAGATCCATCTTAATCTATCCTGTATGCACATTTTTATATTTTTGGCAAAACACGCTATTACTTCTTTTATTACATTTTTATAAATGTTATAAGTCGCGAAAATCCGAATAGTGCATTATTGACGTCATTTGTCTCTATTTGTAAATGATTACAAACGGAAATTTTTCCACACATCTTTTTAGCAATAATGCGTAAATCCTTTCAGCACGGAGAATGGTGATTGAAAAGTCGCGTGAATTTCGGAAAGCGAAAAATGAAGCATTTCTATAATTGATTGTACGATCAAACAAGGAATTTATTCGGGTGTCACAGAAGAATGGAATCACGCGGATTACATAGGAAGCATATGAATAAATCTAAATTTCCGATCAGTAGTCACATTATCGCGTTCGCTGCATTTTTAATATTTCGAAGGAAACTGATCTCTCTCTTTCGGGCGAGTGAAATTCAACGCTTTTTCACGCCGCGCGCGCGCGCGCGACACTTTAATGCAATGCTTTTCGCCGAGAAAATGAAGCCCTTGACTGAATACTGGACACCTGAGTAATGGAGAGCTTACCTAGCGACAGAGAATCGAAGATTAAGTTATACCGCTATTGTCACTGGCGCGCGACAGAATGAATGATCGTTGCATTTCTGAAGAAAGAGTCAACTGAACAACACGTGCTTGTCGCGCGTAACACGACATCGCGTCGAGAACACTTAGAGAATGAAAGAATTCTGAAGCAGGTCTAACTTTTGCGATTATTAAATTCGATATTATATTCGGAACAATTTGTCACATCACTGACGTAAAGATATACATACGTATTTGAAAATTCAAACGGATAGAGAATGAGAATGAGGAATTTTTACATCAATCACCTTTCGTTTTTTCTTTTGAATAATATGACGTTTTTGGGTCTTTCGTCTTGAGTTTCATCTTTTATTTTCTAGAAGATTATTATACATTACTGAAAGTGAAAAAAATAATCCGCAGACGTTGTTGTATTTAAATTTCGTATTGTTCTTTCTTTTTATATTCTTGCCGACGCAAAGTGAAATATAATGCAACAGTGGTATACAACAGCGCTGCGACAATGAGACAGTCGACAATCCTCGTTATGCACATAATTGTTTCGTTATCGCGATGAGAACATTATCTCCTATAATAAGGCTCCAGGGATTTAAAATTATCGTTTACAAAGTTCCATCTCTGTATAAATAGCGTAGTATTCTTTCACTGTGAATAAAATTAATGAATTTTAAAAAGAAAAAAGTTTACATAAAACAAGGGCCCGCGGCGCGCGATACGCATCAGGTTATTTCTTTCGACGAGCAATGCATGGCGTATATAACATGCAGATTGTAATTTTAGCAAGAAAGAGAGAGAAGATGAGGAGAAAGACAGAGAGGGGGAGAAGCTTTTCTATCCAGCAGCTGGAAAAGAATGGACCGCAGACTGATGACCAGTTATGAAATTGTCACTGGGAAAAACGGATGTAGACGATGGGAGCGCAATCTCGGTGCGTGCGTTTAATGGGTGCGTCTGACGGGGAAGATGAGTAAAATGTGAGAAAGGGGAGGGAAAAAGAAGGGGGAAAAGTGGCATCGTTAGTCCGTTAGATGCCGGGTTATTGGATCGCTGTTATTGCCGGACTTGTTTGCCGCTCGTAAGTCGCTACTTGCCTTGTTCCGCGTCGTTTATTAGCTCGCCTCGGGCTGATGCATTATTTTTGTGCGAGCGAAATCCGAAACTGCGCCAACCTGGTCGTCGTACGATACGAGAAAGAGCATAGCTCGCAGCAATAGCGTGCAACAACAGCAGCAGCAGCAGCAGCAGTAGCAGCAGCTGTTGCTGTGCTGCGATGAAGTGTGCATTTCCGTAAAGTTCACTGCGTTTAAAGCGCGACATTTTACTATATCTACTTGCGAAGGGGTGCACGTACCGCCAGAGGCAATTGATTAAAATCTTAATGCTTAAATGCGTTAGAAATTAAATTCGTTGTTCGCGATACGGAATTCGTGGAGTGTGTCACTCGAAAAATAAGATAAAAAGGCAAAAGGAGAGAATCAATGTTTCAACTTTCTAACTTTCAACTTTCGTATTTGTTACTTCTACATCGAGACTCGAAGCGTCGTGCTTTCGTAAGATGAAAAGTTTGGGAAATTTTCAGTACGCGATGCGTATATTTATGACACTCGTATCTTCGAAAAGTTTTTAGTTATTCGTTGCAACGCCACACGCATGTTTTCTTGCAATATCGCTCGCAAGATTCTTTGTAGACAATATAATGTTGCAAAGTAAATAAGAGGGGCGGAGGGGAGGGTGCCCTTAGGACAGTCCTGGATATATATAGAGGACAATATCGCGCGAGAAAGAACAAAGTAACGTACGTTGTCTCGCTTCGCACCTATTTTCCTTACCGCAAGATTTTATATGCTACGCCGTAAAGTCTTCTCTTCCGCGTGGTCGCACGTCGCAAACGGCTTCATCATTAATTTCGTTTGCACTGTCGTTAGCGTTGCGCGTCTTTAATTATGGCCGTAACTCATGAGCCTTTGACGGTTTCTCGATGAGGCATTAAAGTGCCTCGTGCCGCTTGTTATACTGCAGCGCGTTTACTTTTCATGCGCGTTTCTTTGCACTATGTTAATTAGTGGTTCGCGGCGAGATAATTCGCAAGCCTTTATCGAGGCGGACAGTCACGTGCATTCGATCAGATTTCCTTTGTTCGTGCCTTCCTCGATTTAAACAGTATATACGAAAGTGACAAACTTGACGATAGATCTATATCGCGTTATTTGCAGAGAAAGAAATAGACATATTATCAAGAATAGAATTTAAAAAAAGAAATAAGCAAAAATATGTAATAAGCAATATATAACTACTTAACCGTAAGTCTCCGTTTATCTCTCCATTTTCTCGTAATACGTATTTTCAATAAATGAAAAGATAATTAACTTTCGACACGAAAGCAGGTATCGGTACAATATATTGCTGTTTATTGCTTTGCTTATCTCCGCTGCCGATGATTATCGCGACGGAATTATTTATTATATTACAAATGCATGCGATCTCTCATCGACCGTGGTAAACATGAAAGCGACGGCGATTAAAATCAGCGGTCACACCCCGAGGGACGTTTGGTACACACGTGTAAATGCAAATCGATAAAACAGGGAAATCGTCACCCTTCTCAAAAGGAGAGACAATACGCGAAGCGCCGTTGTTGTATTATAAATTACAAGTTCTGCGAAAACTGCGGTATAACTAATTATACCCGGAGAGCTTGATAGAGATGTAAATCACATTGAAATGAAATTAAGCAGCCTTTTCAATCTA